TCATTTCTGGATAGTAAAAACATGAATGTTTCATATGTCGTTCTCCGCATTTTTAAACTTTTTGTTATATTAGAAAAGTTAGCAACAAAATCTTCATAGTTAATTTGGATGCACACTCTCAGTTAATTGCCATTACTTTAAGAAAATCCAACCTTTAATAACCAAAGTTTTAAATGCTGTTATTGAAAAGTTTTGGTGTACGCTTTTCAGACTTAACTTTTAAACATAACTGATACTTTAAAAACGAGGAAGAAAGAGTATGCAGCAGTCAAAGTGGACTAGAGTGGGGAGCCAGCTGAAGATGATGATAAGGACTGATGAGTATCTTGGGGCCAGGCCCCAGGGGTGTGTGGTGGGCCCTGATCCAGGCCTGCACCTCTCTCACTCAGACTTTATAGCAGCCCCTAAATTAGTCACCCTGCTCCAGTTTTGCCTCTCTCTTTTCTGGTCTCCAAAAATGGTTGGTGAGATTTTTCCAAAATGTAAATATGAATGAACCCCATGTGCTCCCCATTGCCCACAGATGAACCTCACTCCTTCATAGAATGATCCAGGACCTTCCTGTTAGGCTCTTCCAGTGGCATTTCCCATCCCATGCTTCCAACTAAATGGTGTTCTTCATGGTTCCCCAAACATCCCTGTATCTCAGTGGAAATTCTGCCTTCCTCAAGTACCACTGAAATTGAGCATACAGGAAGGCAGAATTTCTCCCACACTCAGAATTAATCATCTTTTCGCAATGCAGTCTTTGCACCACTCAAATTTCTACTGCAGACCGTACCCCCTGCAAGCTGGGGACAATCTACTGGAAATCTTCCAGTATTTTCTCCAAATGTAGCCAAAAATAACAGAGAAGTTCAGTGTTCCTGAAGAACAGAAACGTTGCTTATTTAACTCTCTATGCCTGACATCTACTAAAGGCTCTAGAACACACTGGATTCTCAATAAAAGTGTACGGAAATTAATTAAGTAATCATTTCTGAGCTTTCAGAGTTCAAATCTACATGGAAATCTTAAACTTTTACTAAAACAAATTTTGCTATAAAAATTAAAATTGAAGTCCACACATTTCGTGGCTCACACACAAGCATGTTGAGAACCACTGCAGTCAGCAGAAGCACAAAGCTGACCTTTGGAACTTGTTCCAACTGATTTTCAAGATGACTTTTGCAGTTACGATGACTCATCTGTAACTGTGACCTAAGAACGACCACCCTGTTCTTGAGTCTGTTTTCTTCAGAGGACTATGGCAGAACAGGTTACAGAACTATAGGCGACACGGGCTTTAATATGGGAAATGTGAGCTTCCCCCTAAAGGCTGGAAGGGACAGCTGAGGGGCAGCCATCTTCTTTTCCTTCTGCCTAAAGCAGTGTGGTTTTTCAAAACTTATTCAATGGAACAGCCAAAGAAGCTATTGCTAAGGATGAGAGAGCATGAGCTTCAATTAAAACAGCCTTTACGCTTTTATATTGAAAGTTTCGAGTAAGATTTCAATTTGAAATATGAGTTTTGCTGCTTAAGAAAGATTTGAAAACCACTGACCTAAAAAATTCTACAGCACCCTTCCCCAGGAAGGGAAGAGAGGCTTAAAGGGTCTACAGCCATGCCACTCTGAATGTGCCCGATCTCATCTGATCTTGGAAGCTCAGCAGGGTAGGGCCTGATTAGTACTTGGATGGGAGACCACCTAGGAATACTGGGTACTGTAGATGTTAAAAAAAAAAAGAAAAGAAAAAAAAAAGCAAGAGGGATCACATGGAAGCCACACCTGGCAGTGGTCCCAGGTGTGAGTAAATCACTTATTCAAACTCCAAGGGAAGACAGAAAAATGGAGCTTGGCTTCAGTCTTCACAGGAGGGCCACAAGCCTTTGTCCACCCCAGAGAACAGAAATCCTTTGACTTCTGAGCATGTGGAAAAATGGTGAGCATCCTGGCTAAGGCAGGCACTGCAAGGACCAGTCCTGAGATGGTCAGTCACCAGTCACCTTTTCCAGGAAGCCCTGCTTCATCATCTTAGGCAAAGCACAACATCTCTTGTAAGTCTGGATACTTCTCACCGCCCACCCAGAAGCTATCCTTGTTATTGACTTCAACTTTTTGTATCGAGTTTATCTCATTAGTTGGTGTGGGATGCCATGAAGACATAGCTGTCAGCCTGACCCCACAATAAACTCAACAAGGAAGCTCATCCTTGCCTCCTACAAATGGGCTGTTACACTCCAGTGCTGAGCAAGAAAGTGCAGATGGAGTGGTGAGATCTACCTCTCCTACAAGGCCAACAAACTCGAGCCCATAACCTGGTGATCGCTGACTAGGAAGGTTAATGAGGGCATCTTTAACAAAAAATGCCCACGGGAGGTGAAGGCAGCAACATCTCCTCAGGCAGGTGACAGACAGCCTTATTCTCAACTGTCCTAGTGCCCTCAGACTGGTGACAGAGCAGCTAGGATCACATCACCCTGAGTTACTGACAATCTCCACAGTGTCAATCACAAATTAAGTCCATATTTTGACCAAGAGCTCAAAGTTAAAAATACCTTACTTATAAAATGTGGGTGCTGGGGGAAGGCTGGTAGCAAAGGCTGTATGCCTAGCTCCAAGAGACGTGAGGAGTGACAGTTTATCTATAGTGTGTGCTGGTGTGAAGCTTTCCACTTGAGAACATTCTCCTATCTCCACTAGATAAAACCCTGTCTAAAAGAGCAGTGGTTTAGGATTCAGAAAGATCTGTGTTCACATCCTGACTTTGACACTTACTAGGCTTGGTGGCTTTTGGTAAGTCAATTAAACTCTGAGAACCCTGGTTATCTAAGTATTATTTCTTAAAATCTGGGTAATGGAACTTACTTTGTAGTGCGGGTACATGAGAAAGCACGCGAGAAGCTGTACACCACACTAACTCCTGCCTTTCAGTTCCCAAACAGCAGCCTGTTGTCCATGCAGCTCGTCCTGGGATTCCTTCCACGTTTTATTTTGGCTCTTTCTGCTTATCCAACAGTGCCCTATATTTCACATTCCCATTTACATGGCCTGCTCTGTGAAGAGGGGGTTAGCTGTTAACTGCTCCCCATGATAAGCGCCATGCCTGGAACACTCAGTTGGTGTTAGCTGATGGGAAGAACAGAGGCCTCCATTTTTCCAAGAATGATGTGGTAGGGAAGAAGGAAATAAAATACAGTCGACGGAGGTGGTTCTCGGAGCTGAAAAGCTGAGCCAGTTGCTACCCAACTACCTCTGTTTCTGCCTCCTCCTATGTCTGTCCCAAAGGAGAGTGGGCCAGGGCTGCAAGTGTGTGTATGTGTGGTGGGGCGGGGGTGGGGGGGGTTTTCTTGGGGTTCTTTTTTTTTTTTTAGTTTTTAAGAACAAACACAAATACAACTGTGTGTCTGTGTGTCTGTGTGTATGACACGTATAATGGCAAAACTGTTTCCATTGAGGAATATTCTTAAAATCACCAAGTGAGAAAATGAGTGCTTCCTGTACCCCATGGGGATCCCTCTGAACAGGAGAGCTTCACCACCACTTACTGGGCCTTTGGTCTAGGGCTATGTGCCCTGGAGAGTCTATAGGAACCACACAGTGTAGAAATAGAGTAATACGTAACATCATGGGTGGAAACACAAAATTGATGTCTATAAATTTCTTTGTACATCATTAATTCGTTAGCTCGGAGAAACTAGAAACAGAGTCAGAACTTGAGCAAACATTGTGGTAGTTACATCCACATAGAGAGGACTGCACCTTTGGTTAAAAAGCAGGATCTAAGAAGTTATCTTAGTCTTCCAACTGCTCAGCCAGTGCAGCTAAAAGCCAGCCACCATCAGCCACACGTGCGAGCGAGCCAGCATGCTGCCCACTGCAGAGGGCACACCAAATGCTCCTTCCTAGTCACTAGTCCTACTCCACAGCCAACCTTATTTGCATAAAAAAAGTTGGAGGATTTTGGGACAGGGTCCCAGTGTTCACCACATATGAAATTGCACTTTGTTCTTTAGGCTTAGAACAAACACATGAATTTACTTAACGTATGGAAAAATAAAGAACGGAACAAAAAATGGCATATGGGAAAGGCAACAACAATATGAGCTACAAATTTGTTTTGATTATAAAGTAAAACTCCATGCAAACTATAATCCCTTTGTATTTCTAAAACAGGGCATTATGAAAAAAAAGTCATGTATGCTTTACTGCAAATTTTGGAAGGGGAAAAAATAGGGAGAACTTGCATTTAAAAAATTGTCCATGCCTCTATTTTCTCTATGAAAAAATGTTACAAGATGGGAAAATGAGGCACATGTAAAAAAATTTTAAACTCAAGTACGAATGGAACTGCAAACATAAATTTGGTCAGAAGCTTTCCCATCTTTAAGATCTATCTTTTTTTAAAGGCCTCACCTCCAATTTTTTTAATAACTTAGAAAACAATATTAAGCAATGTAGAAGAAATCTGGCAGGAAATACTGTGTTGGAAGAACACGTGAAGAATTACATGAAAGAGGCGTATTTTTCGTAAGTATTCTTGAAAATACATCAAAAGCACAAAACAATTTCTAAATATTTTTTTAAAGTAATTTCATGATGACCACTGTGGAAATGATTCCTGTTTATAATTTCTACACAAACTTTGTGTCTCTGAACTTTTTTCCTCTCCTAGCCAAAGGCTGCTTGGTGGACATTCGAAGGGTAAAAAAAAAAGAAATCAAGGTTTTGTGCTGAAAGTTATTAAGACCAGCTCTCTGCTGCATTTGCATTGTTATTAGGGTCACACACACACACACACACACACACACACACGCACGCACACGCACACCCACACACTGAGCTTAATGTGAAGCTAGTACAGAAACAGAGAGATTAGACACAAAGAAATGTAAACAGCTCTCACATGCGAGGAAACTAGGTTACGAGAATCCCAGCACCAGGCATTCACCAGTCACCATGGAAAACAGGAAGTGAGATGCATAGCAACCACAAGCCAAAAAGCAGGAAAGCGCATACCTTTAGCTTGGAATGAAAATCACGAGATTTCCTTCTGGCAAGAACCTGAATGTGACTAGACACCTGCAGGGTAGGGGAAGGGAGGAAAACAAAGGAAAAGCCTGTAACCATGGAGATGAAAAGCCCCCTACAACTGGGCAAGCCAGACGTACCTTAATGGCGGCTTGAATTTCTCGAACTTTCTTTCTTGCTAAGACCTGTATATGACTAGACACCTACATTGTTCGGGTTTATGAGGGGAAACAAAACAAAACAAAACAAAACAAAAAAAGGAAATCAAATATAAAATTGCTGCTCCTTAGAAAGGTTTGGGGTGGGGTGGGGGGGTAGGTTATTTGCATCTCAACAAAGCTCTGCAGTTAGGAGGACACAGTCCCAGCCAGACACCAAGCCCCCAGCGCTGCTCTAAGCTTTTCAGACTGGGTCATCACTGCAGTGACTTGATTCAGGAGGGAAGTTTAGGCTAATCCAGTTTTTTCTCACCCGGGAGCAATCACGGGCACGGGTTGAGAGGGGGAGATTGGGGTTGTTTTCTTTATGAAATTAGAAAGGTGGGAGTAGAGGTAAATGAAAATATTTATAGCTTCTCAGTATCAGGAGGGAAAATCCCTTTTTCTCAATTTAGAAGAGACGATCCATAAATTAGCACATTCTTCAGAATCAAAAAGCTGAAGCTGTCGGTTGTATTCTGATCTCATTAAGAGCTCTGGATTCTGTAGCAAATGTTAAAATAATACTGACATGTAAATTAGATCTCAAAGTGAAATGGAAAGACCCAGTTAGCAGAGCATTTTTTTTTTTTTTGCCCTTATAAATATCTTTAATCCTTCCACTCTTTTGGGTATTGACTGGGCGCCAAGTGGATTTGCATATTATTACAAAGCGCAAAGTGTGAATACAGCCAGCCAGCCATCCTGTCAAAAATCTGGGTTGAAAACCACACGGATTTGCTGAACAACAAATTCACATTGGAGAGGTATCACCAACTGCTGCCTAAAAACACCCCCAGGATGCCGGGTGTGGAAACCAAGCCAAGCCTGGCTTCTGAAACAATGATTCCACTGGGTAAACAAATTTGCATCTCTTTCAGCAGGGCTTGGTTAAATTTAGAAGAGTCCCCCAGTGAAGGGGTTGGGCACATGACCAGAGCTCACAGACCAGCAGACAGCCCAAGCCCAGCACTTTCACTATGTTAAGAATGAGATCTTGTCTGTTTTTGTGTTTCAGAAATTTAGAACCTTCCATGTAAAAGTTCAGCAACTCAGACTGTGAGACAATTACTTCATTTCAAACACTCTAAAACACAGGATTTATGATAATAAAAGACCCTTTCAGCTTTAACTTTGTCTTTGAGTTTAAATCGTTCGTTCATTTTTTTTTTTAAAGGAGACGCGAGAACTCCTCCATTCTCTTTACCCCTCCATCTGGCTCCTGCTTTCACTTGTTTTCACTCGAATTTTGTTCTGATGTGATTCTCTGACTTAATGAGAACCACTGTCCCCTGTCGGGGGAACATCCACCAAACAAAGTCCTGCCTCTGAACACTGGCAGGACGCCACTTCCCTCTATGCTGACTCAGCAGCCAGGCTCCCGGCTGGGGCACATGTAGCATTCCTGGGGGAAAGCTCTCCCCCTCATAAACACTCATGAAAACAACTCATCACTGAGCAGAGGACTGGAATCTGCTGCTCAGGCTTAATGAGACCACAGTTGAGTTTGCCTTTTGGTTTGATTATAGTTTTTAAAATCCATGTCAGATCCATCAGCATAGGTCAACATCAAAAAATGAATTTTTTCAGTTAACAACTCACCCATAAGGTTTGTCTGATTTTTCTCCCCCTTCCCCTTTTTCTGTTTTTAGTTAAACACAAATTTCTCATCCATTCCAGTTCTGAACTGGGTCTGAGATTTGGGCTGTTTTACATCAAAAAGGAGGAGAGCCAGAGCCCTCACAAAGGGCAGAAGAAAATTCCTGACACTGTTCTGCACAAAGATATTTCAGTTGTAACTTCATTTCAGTCACAGCAGCTACTGACAAAAAGCCATAGCTTAAGGAGCAACAGTTCCCTGGACGCACATCATTCAGAATCATATTCAGGCCAATACTCATGGCTGCTAATATTACTTTTTCATTGAAATGATGACTAATATATAATTGTTCCAGGATTTTACAATGCACAAAATCTCAAAATTTCATGACTTGCAAGTATATTTGCACCTGCAGCTCTTACAGTGTTTGCAGATACAAAGTTTGGGAAAGAAATAAAACTGTTAATATACAGTACAGGAGCAGTTCATACACTGTCCTTAGCAGTAAAACTTTCCCATCTGGAGACCACATAGTAAAGGGTCACTGAAATGATGAACAGTGAAAACTGAGCCAATTTAAAACACCAAATTTAGACAGCACTGACGTCCTTACAGGGAACTCAAATTGGGGGCTCCTAGGATCCAAAGCACAGACAGCCACTGCAGCCAAAATGCCTCCTTGGGCCATTCGCTGACATGCAAAATTTCCAGGTAGGTTATTTTACCTGTTTTCTGGTCCTCGTCTTCCCTGTCCTGAGTTTGATGTATCTGGCTATCAATTCGTTCCTACCTGAAAGAAAGAATAATTTACAATAAGAAGGGATATTGGGGGCTCCTAGGATCCAAAGCACAGACAGCCACTGCAGCCAAAATGCCTCCTTGGGCCATTCGCTGACATGCAAAATTTCCAGGTAGGTTATTTTACCTGTTTTCTGGTCCTCGTCTTCCCTGTCCTGAGTTTGATGTATCTGGCTATCAATTCGTTCCTACCTGAAAGAAAGAATAATTTACAATAAGAAGGAAAAAAAAAAAAAAAAAAGCATCTGAAACCTAAGAATAGAATTCAGAATCCGTTGTAGCTCTAAGTTTATTAATATTATAAAAACAAAACAGTAATTGTTTGCAAAAACATTTAGACAAAGTTAGGATGAGGGGCATTTAATTATGAACTATGATCAGCAATTGAGGACAGATATGTGCTTTTAAAAAATGTGCCCCTTTTTTTTTCCCATTTGTATCTAAATAGGTAGTCATTTGCATAAGCAACAAATACAAGGATTAGTGTGGGAGTCCATAAACTTGGTTCTGTTCTAGCCTTATTTTTCATTTTCATTCCTCCTCACCCAGGTTTCTACTTTTAGTTATAGAGTTTTTACAGCCACTATAGAATGAACGGCTGTGGCCACAGAAACCCTACGATAAGAAGCTAACAGTATGAAAGCAGACATCTCCTAACAGTAGTAGTAGTCACCACATTAGTAACTAACCATACACAAGATCATGTCTGCGAAAAAAATGACTCAACCTCCTCAAAGCTTTATTACTTTGGGGGGAAAGAAAATGCCTGAAAGTATAAGCAAATACCTCCCATCTGTACCATACCAGGAGAATGAGAAGTTTCAGGTAACCTGACTCTGAAGAACTATAAGACTATAATACAACAGGAAAGTATAGCCCCGAAGCTAAGTGGGGGAAATGTAATGCTATGTGAAGTTAACCCATTCCTGTAAAACATGGGTCCAAACTGTAACTATAATCGTAACTGTCTGGCTAGTTGTATAATTTGTATTTGTAGTCTTACTTTCCAGGCATACTGCATACCTGACTAGAACAAGAGATCTGTCTTATTCCCCAAAGCCTCTCCAGCACCCCGCACACTGCTGGTACACAGAATAAATGCGGAAGTAACACAGCCTCTGGTGAAAGAATGACCACATCCACCAGATCTCCCTTGGCCGACTAAAGAACTGGCAGCACTAATGGGGACCAATCAAGAGTGTCCTTATGGAAATCTTACATGAGAATTTTAAGAACTGTCCCATCACTGCCTGCAACATTCCTATAATTATGGCTCTGTCCACCACCTGCCTGTTTGGACTATAGAACACACAGCCACGGGAAAGCAAAGGAATTGTGGAATCTTGGGGCTGTTGGGTCATGCATTCCCACCCCTAAAAGTCAAAGGCCTTATTAGCCTAAACTAGCACTTCTAGAATTCAGGAAGCAGTCCATTTTACCTTAAAACAGTTAAAGATAAAACAACCCTCCTTATCTGTTGCTTCCTGTAACTTTCATCCTCAGAGTCTTCTTATTCCTCTTAACAAGAAACAAGACTAGTCCCTTATGCACATGACTGACTCTCAGATATTAATGACAGCTTTCAGGTTCTCCTGGAGTTGTGTCCAGGCCAAAGCTCCCCTGTTCCTTTGTTATCTGTGACAAGCTCTGGAACACGCACCGCCCTCCATATATCCTGTGACCATCCTTTGTCTAACTTTCCTTTCGTAGCCTTGAGCCCAGAACTGTAGGGATGTTCCTGCTGTGACAGATCCACAGCAGAGTGGGTCTATCGCCTCTCTCATCCTAAATACTCCACCTCTGTTGATACAGCCTAACACTGCATTTGGTTTAGCCGGGCCACAATAAACAGTCAACTTACGTCAATTTGAACTCCTAGGACTTTTTCATACAGACTACTCCGCAGATATATCCCTACCCCTATACCCAGTCTTTTCATGCATACTTAGGATTTTCATATCCAAACACAGAACCTTACATTTATTTCTATTGCATTTCAACCCGTTAAATAAAGTCCATCATTCCAGTCTGAAAGGATCTTGATTGTGTAACTACACTTACCCTTTAACCACAGGAAAAGGACCTTGAAATTCAGTTTTGAGGACTGCTTCTCTAAGGATTCTCTTTCAAACTTTTGAGAACTACCAATATCTCCTGTAGTGTCATCGGGTCTACTTCTCCATCTCTCAGATGGTTGTACAGATTTTGCAATTTGTCTCAAAGGCTTGCTGATAGCTGGGCCCAGCTAGGAGTACCTAATTACCAGAAGCCAGACCTAAATGACAATGTCTGCAGATGAGCGAAGCATCCTCCAGCTTGGGGCCTCACTTTGCACCCTGTTCAGGGCTGTCTGAGTGGCCAGGATGAAATAAATCCAGGGCTCTGTATTACATACAATTTCATCTGAACCTTGTCCAGATAGCAAAAATGTCTCCTGTCTCCATACTTGCTTAATTTTCTGTGAAAGCAGACAGAATAGATTGTTATGTGTGACAATCACCCATATAACTAATTTTTAATTTCTCATGGCATTTGGCTGAATGGATGAGATCAATATCCAGGACGGCCACATTTGACTGTATACCCTGGAGTCTATACAAAGGGCACCCCTTGCAGTTAAACAATGTCAACTCATAATTTAGATTACAGTACTTCTAAAAATCGCCACTTCTGCAACAGGCCCTCAGTGAGAATCTACTATGTGCAGAGAGCATTATGCTACAGTCATCATTCCATTCAAAACTTGTCTTAACTCTTATGACCCTGTGCTTTACATGGGTAAGATCACCTTTCAAAACCCTGTATCCTTTCTACATATCATATTTCAAGCCTATGTGTTTCTTATCTCTGTAAGGAATATCACTGATTCAATTTTTAAATTCAAATTCAATTAACACTAAACATCTACTGTGATCTAGGCATTGTTAATCACTTTAATTCATGTGAATTTTTTAATGACCATGAAGGTAGCTTTGTGTACAGAAAACATTATTTGGGTTTACCTGATTTATAAAAATGTATATTTCATTTGTTTGGTTATTTTACAAAAACCACTTAAATACCTAGTTCATCCTTAAGTTTTAAGTTCAACTCATGCATCTTATAATTTTTACAATCACTTTCAAAGGTCCATTCGAATAAAATTTGGCCCATTTCTCGAACCTACAATCTTTTAAATATTTAAAACTATGTAATTTAGAACGTATTTCTTTTAAATATTAGAACTGTTTGATTCAACTTATAAAAAAAACTTTCCCTTAAACAACTCTTAGAAACCTAATAAACTATCATAAATGCTCTAATATTGCTTACAAATCTAGTAAGACTTCAATACTTCCAAAAAGCAAATCTAAATCAATTACCCCATGTCACATTTCAATTTGGAAATACAGGCTAACCTGTTGCATGGGCAAAATTATTTTTAAAAATTACTTGAGTGAAGGGGTTAGGAAGTACGAATTGGTAGTTACAAAATAGTCATGGGGATATAAAATACAGCATAAGGCTAACTCCATCGCCCTTCCCAGCCCACTGCCAATAAACAACTATTTAAGGGGGAAAAATAATAATAATAATATTGTAATAACTATGTATAGTGCCAGGTAGGTACTACTAGACTTATTGGGGGGATCACTTCAAAAATTCCATGTCTAACCACTACGCTGTACACCTAATATAAAATAATACTGAATGTGAACTATAATTGGAAAATAAAATTTAAAAAATGTCAAATATGTATAAATCCTTTAAATCAAAAACATTAATACTATAGCTTTGGTTCTCTTAAAATCTCCTATTTTCAATTATAAATCTTCCCAGAATTAAAATATGCTTACCCATTAGGGAAACATGTATGCCATTCCAAATGATTTTGGAATATCTTTTTGCTTGGAGTTGTACATATTTTGGGGAAATCAAGTAGGTTCTCAAGGGATTCTTATCAGTGACCTTGATAGGATGTCCTGAGACCTATTTATATTTCTATAGCAGGGACCTCTAAATGGGGTGGATCCAAACAGTCCAGAGCTCTGGATCCGAATCATGGTACTAAGACAGGGTCCCCAGCTCCTGGGTTGTGGACCTGTACCAGTCTGTGGCCTGTTAGGAACTGTGCTGCAGTGAAGTGAAGCTTCATCTATTTGCAGCCGTTCCCCTGTGCTGGCAGCACCATCTCAGCTCCACCTCAGATCATCAGGCATTAGATTCTGTTAGCACCAGTCGCCAAAAAGGCCAACAAGGTTGGAGACTGCTGTACTAAGGTACAGAATTCTCTTCTCAAGGACTGGAAACTCAGTGGCACCAGCCATCAGTGATGTAACTGGCAGTGGGCCTCTGGTCCATGCAACACAGTCTTGTTCTGTGGTCAGTGTTAGGATACTGGGTATTAGAAATGTTAACCCTCATTGTTTTTTCTCTTCCAACACACACGCACGCGCGCACGCGTACACACACACGCACACCAGCACGCAGCCACACATCCCCGCATACAGTGGTGCTTCCTTCAGTAAACTTTCCATTACAAAAAATGATTTCAACAAAATTAACTTTAAAGTTAATCATGATGTTCCTAAACTAATCATACAGTCATGAGGGGACCACATACTTTGTGCCTCATGATGCCTGTCTGGTGCATCAGGGATATAAAAAGAAGACAGCCAGCCTGCCTGCCCACTGTCCAACACAAGGGCTAAGATACAAGAGCAAATCGGCTCTACACATCAGACAACTATTGCCATGAAAGAGGTTCTAGTAACATGTATGAGTAATTGGCCACAAATAATTCAGGAAATCTAGAAAGCCTTCCCCAAAGTACTGGAACATAAGCTAGGCTTTTAAGGATAGAATATATATTCTCCAACATTTTATTATGAAAAATTTCAGACATACAGAGTTTTTTTGCAGATGAATTTTATACTGTTGTTGCATTTCAAAATAAGTGGTAGGCAAGAGTAACACGCCTGCCTTCAGTGTGTATATCCTAACTAGAGTGATAAGGCTGATTTTTGATAGGCAGAATGAGGGAGGGGGGTCGAAGACCATTTTAGACAGAGAAAGCAGCATTTCTCTAAAGCATAGGCAAGAAACTGGTACTCTTTTTAAAAACCCGTCTGCTGACCCCCAAGCTCTCCAGACTACTGCACATTCTTTCTTTCTGATACCAGGAATCTCTAGATTCTATATTTATAGCACCC